TTAATTAAGATATTTGAGTAGAAATTCAGTGTGAATGTAATGATTTCTTAATGCACCTTGTTTAATGCTGAAACAATATTTCAACACATTCATTAGACATTTTGCAGCACCACCAAGAAAATTAATGAACTAAAAACTTAAATGTTAATGCCTATATAACGTTAAGTCATATTTGCTTATTTTCTCTCTCTTGTTTGGCAAAAGAATTGATTTTTGTTTAAATACTTTGTAGTCATATTTTATGTTAGCAATTCAATAATCCACATATTATGTAAAATTAAAATAGACTAGTTTTCTGGAAAATTTCTCCTATAATGTCAATATTTACTTTAATTATAAAATGTGTACCATAACTTTTCTCTCTGATGACATAACCTTATTTTATAAGATATTATAGCAGGTAATGAAAATATCTATAAGAAAATAAATCTGTGATAAAATATATAAAACAGATAGGGTTTTTGATGGATTATAATTTGCCATATGAACAACTATTTGGTAATAGCGATGCCTGTAGTGGTGAATTAAGGGGATGGTGAAGAGGGTGTGAGTTTCCACTGTTTCTTACAAAAATCAAGTTCATATATTCTTTATGAATGATCAATTACATACCACTTCCATGCATTCAGGGAGCTTCCCTTCCTGGACCCTCCTGACTACATCCCGAACCGACCCCACTAAGTTTGTGTTCTTGAACGTAGCCATCAATTGCTTGCATCACCTGCAAGGACCACTTAGGCCTACAATTTTACACCCTGCTTACCTGGCTTGTTTTGTACTGCATTGCTATAATATCAGTCAATTATTGTCAGTAGATATGATTTAAAATAACAACAAATGTAGATCCAAGATTCTTGAATATAACAGCTTTAACAAACTGAATCATTTTTTTAAAGTGGTTAAATCCTTTTAATCTCCTCTATCCCCCAGCTCCCCGCTCCAATATCCCCACCTTCCTTCTAGGATATCCCTATAAAACAATTCATTCTTTGTCAGAGCGTGTAGTAACTGCATTAAGTGAAATTGCAAATGGTCCCTCAATTAAGATAAAAGATTACACATTTCACACCAATCATCTTGTGTTTGTTGTGGGCTTGAATTCTCCAAGGCAGAGAGCCTAAATATATTATATTTCTAGGAAAGAATAGTCCACTATTATGGTTCATCGACAAACTGAGAGAAAAATGGCACAACCACCTTGCCAAAAAAACAACAAATAAACCAGATGAAATATTCAATAGCAATTACTAAAATGGTAGACTAAAATGTAAATGGTGATGGATTCATTTTGACAAGGTTTATTAATGTAGATGTTCAGTTAGTGATAATATACATAATATTATGTTGTGTGTAAAAATAACAAAATACATGTAGACTGGAATATACTAAATATATAAATCCTTCATCTTAGTTTAGTTTTGTGCTTTTATTGACACAAAAACTTTGTTTGGAAACATGCCAGGAATAAAATATTAAATCATATTTGTGTGGAAAATATATTTGATAATTTGTGAATCTAACAAGATTACAAGTACACTGTTGGACAATCATAACGCATTCTGTTGAAAAATCATCGATTCATCCCAATATAAAATCGTCAATATACCAGACACATTAAATACAACTCTGCAAAAGTTTTATTTATGAGAAATAGTGTTTTATATAGATATCTTGTTGTCGAAATCAGTTGAAGCAAAGGCTAATTTTGTTTTCTTCCCATTAAGAGGTAGCCATTTGTGATTGCCTAATATACAGCCAGAGAAATTGGTCTCATGAGCTATTTATTTATTGATTTAGCATTTACCTAGTGAAGAAAAGCTGGGTATAAATATTACTGATATGACTTGTTTGAAGCTTGGAATAACTATGATTATAGCAAAATACTTTTATTGATCTAACAATTTACACATCCTATAGATTTGGTTTAGATTTTTATTACCTTGTGAAAAAAAAACTTCAACAGATAGCATCTAGTTTAAAAGCAATGTTTTTAGAAAAAATATTAATCAATATAAATGATATCGATTTTAATATTTTATTAAAAGCTCAAATATTCTTTGATGATCCGGTTTATTTCATGATAAATAAAACAACTCTTTAGTCTCAAAATGATTTTAAAAACATTTGAAGAGTTCAGGGGAAGAACGATCTAAGTCACATTTTTGTCTTTTCGCATAAAGGCAAAACAGACTTTTGGACAAGAATGCTTGACGCGAACAGAACAACGAGTGGGTTTAATTACAGCTTCAAAATGATGTTTAATACAAATCATAATTACCAGTACAACAACTGACTTCCAATTTTCAGCCAAATTAAGGTCAAATAAAGGGTACGATGGACTTGTATTTGTTCGGGAGGCCATTTCAGAAGGGCCTTGGTTCGATGTGACTTCAATCATTTTTTTCTTAAAATTCATTGTTCCAAAGAAAGCTTATACAATTTGCTACCAGATGGTGCCATTAACTGGGGTTCGTTGAAAAAGTGACTTAGATTGTTCTTCCTCGGGGCTCTTCATTTCGTACAGAAATTGTATTATGATGAATGACTTTATATAATTCTATGTGCTTCTGTTCCTTGACTTTGTTACATAGAAAATAATTAAAAAACATTAAATTTGATAAAATCTACTAGAAGAATCATATCAGATATAACAGTATATTACAATCTTTTGGCTTTGTGTACTATAGAGAACAGGTTGGTTTTTCAGTATGGAAGAAAAAACATCCACAGAAATTGTCGAACAGAAACCACCACCAGATCACTTTACTCTGATTCAGACTGTGATAATGCGTGTGTGCTTCACGCCTCAATGAATATATTCCTCTCATATATTGAGTACAAAAGGTTCATACCCTTTTGCATCAGCGGTAAAATTATGTATTGGACAAAAGAGTTTTAAAAATGTGGATTATTTCATTATTTTCTATGGAATAAGTTGTACGCCATCTGGAAGACCCCCTATCATGATAAAATCATGATTTTCAATAATTCTAATGGTGCCTATAATGATTATGTGTTTTGGACCTTTGGTAGAAACATCCTGGCATCGTACCTTCTTTAGACCTGATCATAACTATTTATTAAATAGATTTACAGATAGGAGAAAAAATGGCCATATCTCTACAATAACACATGAATAGTGACTAACATTACTTTCTCAGGAGTAATTGAAGGTTTCAACCTGTATAAAAAAAACAGGTTTAATAGTATCCAGCTTTAAGTTTGTCCTCCGTAGGAGTTGAACCCCTGACTTGCGGCCCATAACTGGCAGTCCAAGGCCCTATTCATACGCAGACACTGTCACTAATAACAGGTTGAGAAGGCATTGTACCAATCAAGAGAAAACTGCAACCCTATGCTGTGATTACTATTTTAATGTACAACCCGATTTAAACAATTCATCCCCTCCCTTTTCCTTAATGCCCACAGAATCAACCAAAGGGTAGGAAGTGTTGGATTTAGTCGACAATGCCCCGACTCGCTCACCCCACCGTGTCTGTGTCTCTATCTCATATCCTTGTGAACGTGACATGAAGTTACCTGACGTGGCATAATTTGTTGATATGATGTGAAGTGGAATTGTTGGTACTACATGCACTGAAACATGCCAGTACCGAATGCGGATATAGTTTGATAATTGAATTTTAGTGCATAGATCTGTGTGCACTTTTGGAAATGCCCAGCTTTTTGCTTCTTGAGGTTTGTTTTAAAACTAGGGAAGAGAATCAAATTCTGGTTATATCCAACAAAAATTCAATCTCTTCCATCACTACTTCTGGTTCCAATTGAAAGAACACGATTCTTGAAATTCATAGAAACTATTTATAGCTATTGTCCATATGTTATGAAAAAAATACTAAATAATAGCTGAGGAGTAGAGCTTCATACATGCAGCATTGTAAAATAAAAAGGATTGGATTTAATAAATTATTTTCTTTTATTATTTAAAGTTGTAGTAATGTACTCATTAAGACAAATAAAAAGAAAGTTTGTTAAGAAAGCACTTGTAATCTTTCATACATATTTATATTCTGAAAAGTTATAGAACTTAAGTTACATCCAATTCTCTCTATATCCTCATGTACCAAATAGGCAATACAAAAAAAATTAGTTTCTCAGATATACTGCTGTATCAATCAAAAAGGGTGGCATAACCTTTTTATTTCCAAATATGACAAACAGACACATTCTCATCAATTAACTACTTTCATATTTCCAGTAATTCTATAAAAAAAAAATTCCTGTTGAAATCGGAAGTAGGCTAAACTATAGGTTCAGTTATCATGTACGCAACCCAGAATTTTTTGGGGGATTGATGCAGGAAATGACAACAATAGATTTTTGGAGATCGTTTAAGTGCATTATATGTAGGAATTAGAAAGAAATGACAGAAATTTACTTTATAGAGACGGAAGGAACATCATTCACAGACAAATTTGCAAAAAGTTACATAATACAAAATATGTAGTACAGTTATTTACAGAATATATATATATATATATATATATATAGATAGATAGATAGATAGATAGATAGATAGCCTGACAAATAAATAGTAAATATGTCAACTCTCTATTCTACAACTATTAACATTTTAAAACTAATAAGTACCGCATTGGTGCTATTATGCCTATGCATGATTATAATGCAAGGGGCATAACTCTTTTTTGGTCGGATTACAAAAGATGTACTGGTATGTAAAAACATTTAGAAAACAAAAGACCCAAATAAACATTAACCCCGTTTACATTACAAATTTTAAGCATACCAGGCATGGTACCAGGTACGGCACGCTTCGCTTTTTTGTAGTGTAAACGGGTCAAACGTAAGTGTGCCACGCCAGGTACAGTGGCAATCAAGCCCACTGAATTGAGGTGGTCTCGGAACGGTACCAGGACCGGCTCGCTTTAAATTTTCATAGTGTAAACGCTAACCGGTCTGAGCACGGATTACTGCTCATACGCCTAATGAACCTTGACCTTTCTCCCCTCCCCCCCCCCCCCCGCAAACTTTGACAGCTCTGTCATCTGTTCCGTCAAAATTTGGCGTACTTGGCACGGTTCTGAGACCGGTTATTTTAGAGTGATGTAAATAGGTCAATTTCTTGAAGTTTATCGCAGCCTGGTACCGTGCCCAGAACGGCATGCTTATCGCGGCCAAGTGTAAACGGGGCTATAAGTGATGTGTGTCAGGCACATGACAATGTCTACAAACACTTGCTGCTCAGTTCATCTGAAGGTGACACATATATTGTCCTGTGGTTAGTTATTGTAAGTAATGTAGATTGATCTCTTTCCGTCATTCATTAAACCATACCAAAGTTATCATCAAAACCGACATATTCCATAACACACCTTTTGATATAACTAAAGATTCACGATGTAGCCCCAAAGGAACTACATGTATATATAGGTCCATATTTAACATTTGATAAATTTTATTACAAGATCGAACACACACTACAGCATTTGGTACACTTGCCGGTTGCGTTTTCAAGTAGTTATATCCATTTATATCTTGTGTTGTGTTTTGTTCTAAATAGTTCACCTTTCTTCTAGATGTCATTTAAATAATTCACATTTAGGAGGTTTTGGAGGAGTTTTCGGGGGCGTTTCTAGCCTAGGATTAGAAGATTTGGGTGGAGTTGAAGGCTTAGGTGGAGAACTGGGCTTAATGTTTTTCTTTGGTGCATTTTCATAGTCTTCACCTATTTCAAAACCTTGGTTGTCCTCTTCCTGATTATAGTAGAGAGGTGAATTATCAGTATTTTCATAGTAGTTACTATTAGAGTCTGTCTTTTCTTGAATAATCATTTCATTGTTAACATAGATGGAGCTTTCAGTACCATTAAGATTTTTGTATTCAGGGGTTTGTTTGTTATCATTAATGATATTAACGATGGGTAAATTCACATAACCAATTTTTGATTGATCACATGGTATTGGGGGAGCCTCATGATATGGAACTGATTCTGTTTGTTTAACTGGTTCTTTTCGTTTAACACACTCAGAGCTGTCACCATTTTTCAGCTTTACGGGAAATTTATTTGCATCATAATAGTTACTTTTAGTAGATGAACTCGTGCTGATCGTATCCTCAATTTCAATAACTGGATCAATTTGTCCAACACTTGCTGTTTCATTAAAATTCCTTGCGGTTTGTATTGCATTTATGTCTGGTAGCTTACCCACTGCTTTATTCTTTCGTTTATTTTGCTTTCTTTTTCTCCATAAACTGAATACAAAGATTTAAAAAATGTTTAGAAAACCATGTTTAAAATATGAAAATCCTTGTTCTCAAAAACTATGACTGATATAAGTACTAATTAAGTTTAACATATTTGCTGTAGTAAAGTCAGTGATGTGTTCCTACTGTGCCTAAATAGCCTACCTACTACTTCTAACTGTAGTTGAGTGGTTAGAGCACTTGACCAAAATATTTCAGGATCTTGATAGGGTCTGAGATGATAATGCCTGATCGGCTGACTAGCAAAGTTATTGGGGGGTCTATTCTTATTAACTTATAAACCTGTAACGGTAAATCTCTTTGATCTTTGGGGTACATTCTATGCCCAGAATAACTTGCGGTCTGAAAGTCGGGGGAGGTTTTGGATATATACAGGGAGATTTGGGGTTATTCTTCTGAAAGTTTTTCTTTAAACCTGTAACGGGTTATTCTTCCAGGGTAAGTTTTTTTTCCCATAAGAAAACATGATATAAGGTTTTTCTTGTGGGAATTCTGGGATATTCTCATCTTGCGCACATGTAAACATAGACGGTTTATAAGCAAGATAAAGTCCTCGACTTTGGTTATGCCGGGGAAGAAAGACTTCAGAAAAACCTCACGACAGAAAACCCTCGGCCTGCCGGCCTCAGCTTTTTTTTCTCTCGGGTTATTTTCTTCAGTCTTTCTTTCCCCAGCATAACCTCAGTCTCATGCTTTATCCTACACATCCGGGCTCACATGAAAGAATCCTAGACAGTTGGAATTTTCTCCCCTTCAATTCTACATGTGATCATTTAACTATGTTAATTCAAAATGACCATGGTGGCTTGGTGTGTGTGATGCTGGCTCACTAATCAGGAGGGCCCCAGTCGATCCCGATGATGTAGGGATACGACAATTTATCAGGGTATCCTTGATTAGCTGGTAACAGTTGTATTTAAATACTTACATGAACATTACAATAACAGCTAGAATTACAAGGACTGTGATACTTGACACTACTCCAATAATCATACCTAAATAAAAATAAACATTATTTTAAATTAATTATTCAATATTTTGTAAAGGGAAATATGTGGATTCAGAATTACTGACAAAAAAAAATCAAATTGTTTCCACTGCCAGATATAGCATTTAGGAGATAAAAACATCTTGTTTAGAATTTATTGTACACTTATGCTCTTTTGATACTGCTTAGATCATTAGAGACTGAGATTGAGTGTCTCTAGTGACGTTACAGTATCAAATGAGCAATAACAGTCTGATCAATTCTAAACAAGAGGTGTTTATTGATATTATAGCCCAAAATATTTAATGTTTTTCTTGGTATTCATTCTTATGCAAAAATTTACCTCCACATTCATATAATGTGGACGTATTATGCCGTCGCCCCTGTCTGTGTGTGTGTTTCTGTGGGTTGCCTACAGGATGCAATTCTTTATGGATTGTCTTGAAACTTTGCATACTTATCCCTTATACCATAAGAATGATCTCTATTGTTTTTAGTTTATGCCCGACCCCCAAGGGGCAGAGCCACGCCCTTTTTTGGAATTTGTTTGTCACCTGCAGGCCACAATTCTTAATGGATCATCTTGAAACTTTGCATATGACCCACCATAAATGAATATCTCCAAATATCTCGAAAATTACGCCACAATATTTATATATATGCCAAGCCTCAAATCAGTTTCACACAATTATAGTCACTAAATAAACGATCATGTTGTACTTAATAAGCTATGACCATTAATCATCTATAAATAATAGACTGAAAACTGGTTCCAAGTGTCGTCCATAACATCCAGACACTTTTGAGTAAAAGATAGGTTACGTGCCCTTGTTTTGAAATTAGTCTCGCTTAACCAGTCTATCGACCATTCTACGTCTGATTGACAGGTCGGGATAATCAAGACTACTTTTTTACGAAACATAACAGAAAGCTAGAACAAGAAATTTAATTTAGAAATAAGCACGTTAGCTAGCTCAACAATTGTTTTAAGAAGCTCGTAAAAGTAAAATGAAACTACTGCTAGTATCACGTTCCTGTCTAACCCGAGTGTTTCAGAGATATTATTTGTACTAAACCAAAAGATGCCGCTCTTAACGGTACAGTTAATGATAAAGCGATTTAAAAAATGAAACGAACGTAATTTCTAAATCTGCTGTAATAACCAAAAAGCTTAATTTTACTGCTATTCAAAATCGTCAACAATAATTTTTTTACGGCTGTAATAGTTGATAGATTTGTAGAGAATTGCACGGGCCATGGCTATTTATAGTATCATACTGTCAGAAAGTTGGTCTCGACACGGCGAATGTGCACGCTTCAGTGGTCACTCGAACTATCAGCGGTGGACTGTATTTCTTTAGAGTGCATGGGTCACCCTACCTATGGATCACACCTATTGTTTTTGGTGCATGCCCAACCTCCAGGGGCAGAGCCATGTCCATTTTCTTTTTGTGTGATTGTGTGTTGCCTACAGGCCGCAATTCTTAATGGATTGTCTTGAAAACTTTTTATACTTAGTCCTAAGACCATAAGGATGACCTCTATTAATTCTGATGCATGCCCGTCCCCCTGGGACAGAACTACGCCCAATTTTGTGCGTGTCTTTGTTTCGGCTAAAGGCCACATTTCTTAAGAGATCCTTTAGAAACTTTGCATACCTATTCCTTATACCCCAAGGATAACCCATATTGTTTTTGGTGAATGTCCGAATCCAGGGGTTGAGCCACACCCATTCTTTCTTTGTGTGTCTATGTGTTGCCAACAGGCCACAATATTTAATGGATCATCTTGTAACTTTGTATATATATTCATAAAAGCCTAAGGACGACAACTATTGATTTTGGTGCATGTCCCGACCCAGGGGCAGAGCCACGCCCAGTTTTTGTGTTTAGTGTCTGAAGGCCACAATTCTGGATGGATTTTCTTGGAACTCGGTATACTTATTTTTCGTGTTTATCATATACTGGCCGTGATTATGAATGGATCATCTTGAAACTTGAAACATGTATTCCTGATAGCCAAAGTGCGGCTGAAGACAACAATTCTGGATGGATTATCTTGTAACTTTGTATACTTATTCATTATACCCTAAGGCCAGCCACTATTGATTTTGGTGCATCGTCCACCGCACCCACGGAGGTGCCACACCCACTCTTTGTTAATATTTTGTCTGTAAATAATCTACAGGTTGCAGTTATTAACTGATTTGGATCCAATTCAGTATAATCCATCATAGGGTTGTACCTATTTATATTGGTCCATGTTCAACCCCTAGGGGCAAAACCACGCCCAAATTTTGTGTTTTTGTCTACAGGCTGGTATTCTGAATAGATCATCTTGGAACTTGGCATATTTATACCTTATACCATAAGGTGACAACTGTTTATTTTGGTGCATGTCTCAACCCCCAGGGGTGTCTTATCACACTCACTTTCTTGTTAATTTTTTGAGATTATTAACAGATTTTGTTCAAACTCAGCATATCAATTATTTCAGTACAGAGTTGTAAATTTGGCAAAACAACCCCCAACACCTAGCCTTCTATGCCTCTTGTCATATTACAGTCATTGCAGCCATTTTATATTTCATGCTCTTCATTTTAAAAAGTAACTTATCAATCAAAGCAGGAATGTTGACGTATATTGCAGCGGTAGCGATGCTCTTGTTTATTTATTTTAATGACAGGAAAACCAACTAAAATGATTATGACGTAATGAAAACATTGTGACGTAATTCGTTTTGGTTCACTAAGCAACTGGTTCTGACTTTCTTTTTTAAGAGGGGGGAGGGGGGTGTCACTCTGCATTAATTTTAGAACGTGGGAACAGAACTTGTAAGTGTTTTTTGATATTTTTTAAAAAATAATTTTGAACTCCAACAATGACTAAGTTCAAAATAAATGGCATACTGTATTTAATAAATGTCCATACACTTGTGGGATCGTGTGGGGATATGCTGTATAGTGTAATAGTGTGATTTTTACAAAAATGAGTATATAAATATACTATCTATCAACCCAAAAGATCAAGAGAGCAATAAAACATTTTAAAACACCTTTATTTGGACATTTTGTACTGGACTCATAAATCTTCCTTTTTTGTTAAAATTATCAGCGAAATTAGTTATTTTTCTCTGCTTGCAGCGGGACGACCAGTTAATCCCCTTACGTAATACTTTGCATCGTTGTGAAGCAGTGAATCTCTAGTCTAGTTTATAAATATGACCAAAGTATTTCAATGAATGCAAACAAGTTTTAAAAGCTAATACAGTGCGTAAACAAACTGGGTTGGTTGCTATCAAGTCAAAGCAACTTGGCCCAGACACTAAGCAGGGTTCATTATAGTGTCATGGCTGCGTCCAGGGCTCACGTTGTCGGTTTCAATTTATTAATGGCGCTAAAAACTTTAGTTTTGGCAATAATGTTCTGGGTTACTTCCGATTCTTCTCTCAGAAAAGCAGAAAAAAATCTTAAAATTCTAATTGTATATAGATTGCCATTGAGTGTCAGTCACAGTGTGGCAGCATCAGGGGCGTATCCAGGAATTTTTGCAGGAGGGGGTTTGCCAGGTTCCTGAGAAAATGTAATCCCCCCCCCCCTCCGCTTGAAATTTTTTGAGAAATACGTGGTCTCTATCGTCATTTTAGCGTATATACACATTGAGCTTTTTAAACAGAGTAATCCAACATCCTGTTTGACGTCAATTTTTATTATGAATTTCATACGATGACATTGTGATTTAATTTTATTGATTAAAAGCATTAATTGTGATATCACATCTATATCATTATCTCGCGCTTTGAGTGCCCATCCTGTCGCATCATCTGATGATAAAGGATAAAGCACAATTATGGATTTGCCCCTGAGCATACTATAAATTAATCAACTAGCTGAAAATCTGGATCATGTCATTGAGTAATACTAATCAATTGTCATGGATTAATGATTAGTGGATTGATAATTGACAATGATACATATAAAGCCTTCCGCAAGTCATTATTTACTCTGAATAATTAATCCAAGCGGTGTTTATTGGGTATTTGTTCCGTCTTATATTTTGATAGTTGAATCCGTTTACTGTGGCTTCATATGGCATGTAAAATCTACAAGCATGCCTAATTGGATATTATTGTTTCAAATTCTATTATCACCATGTGTCAGAAAGGCGAGAACAAGTCAAATAGCGAAGATTCTAGAGTGAGAAAACAGTCCGCCATTTATTTCATTATTCCGCCGCGAGAATGCACTAAAGTGAATGTAAGCATCTCTTACAAATGAAATGGAAATTTATATCATTCTATCAGGGATTCAGATTCTGATACCGTTACGGTACCTGAAAATAACAATAGACCTATTGTACACGCAAAACCTTATTTTAATTCAGTTGTTTGACAAAGATAACAGAACACACATATAGCTGTGGCTGCTTCTTTGATGATCAAGAAACTGAACTCGATTACTCAATTAACCTTAATCTCCTGACCACTAATGTGCTAATTAATTGGTGAGATTAATAGAAATGATAAAAGTTATAATATACAATACATAGATTACTAATGTATGGACTATTCTCATTTGTTCAAAATTATAACACTGTCACAGGAAATGTGAATATGGCGCAGGATTTATGGATGTTTTGTTACGAATTGCACGAAAAAATATATGAACATGTTTTTATATAAAAATTATTATCCATTATGGCAGAAAAAAAATTGAAATTCAATGTGAGCCCTGGCTGCATCCTTGTTGACAACTTCATCAAGCTTAGCAGATATCAGTACATTCAATGTACCTGCACCAACCTTTTCCATTCTAGAATGTTAAACAGCTATCCATACCCCCAGTAAATAATAAATTAAAATTCTTGTAATTCATTATTGCCACAGTAAATAGTGTTTGTTTATAGCTCTCTATTCACGCTCAGGGTTTTTTTTTTGTCAATGTCCTTGTTATGACAGTTCTGGTAATCAATGTCGCTTAAATGCAACAATGCCGTTACATATGATGTTACAGATTTTTATAACAATCCTGTACAACAATGAAAAATGCTTCTTCAGTGGTAAAAAAATAATTTTACAGCCTGGAAAACCTCCAAAATGACATATTACACGATAGGGTAACAAACACCAATAATTGCTATTTTGGTGGCCATTTTGAAAACGAAGATGGTGGATATAGTTGGATCAACCCCTTAAACTATGACATTTGTATTCAGTACCCCTAAAAACCTATAAAATGATATATTGCGCAAAACAGTTACAAATGTACAGTGAAAAACTCCAAATATTGCCATTTTTTGAAAATGTGAAAATAATAATAACTCGTACGCATCCTGGCTTAAGCCTATCATGTTTCTACCCTATCAAGTTAGGTTTCAATTTGTTTTGTTTCAATCATCAGTTTAAGCAGGTAACTATTACCTTCGTTATCATTGGGTGTTGGTGTTGAAGTGCTCCCTGCTGTGGAAGATGCTGTTAATGTACTGGTAGTCGTAGATGCTGTTGTTAATAAGGATGAAGAATTAGAGGTGCCAGTATTTAACTGAGTAGCATTATTGATAGTAGTTCCGGTAGTAGCTGTACTGGTAGTAGTGCTAATACTAGCAATAGTAGTATTTATACTTGCCATTTTTAATCTGTTTTAAAAATAAAAAAAGTTTAATTTTTGCTTTAGTATTCATACACTTCAAATTAAAATAAACAAAGTATGTAGCACAAAGTTAGTGCAAACTGTCATGTTAACGTACAATTTACTGTAAATATTCTGGAGGTCAAAGTTCTTTAGGGATCATTTTAAATTTCACAGGGATTGTTCATTGGGTCATCTATGTTTGTCATCTGTCAAAATTTCAACTTCTTCTCCAGAACTATTTGAAGGTTTCCAACAAATTCTGTTTAATATGTTGCTTGAGTAATGCTTAGTTTTGGTCACGGTGGGAGCAAGTTAAAGAGGGCAATTTTGAACTTTTTGCCTACTTTTTCTAAACAACTTGATGGATTTCAGGCAAGATTTTTAGGAATGTTGCTTTGTGTGGTACTTATACAGGTTTTTTAAAACAAATTTGATAAACCCCATAAGGCAGGGTCGAGGGGGTGCATGTGTGTGACCAAGTAAGCACTCCTGAGACCAAGTAAGCGACCCCAAGGTTTACAAAAGAAAAAAAGAATAACAAAATCAATAACAATCATAATATGAAATGAACTTTACATCAACCTGAATAGAACTGTTTTCTAGGGAGATAACAATCAGAAAACAACTATATAGGCAATGCGATCTATGTTCTACCAGGACGCACAGTGTTATATTAAGCATTTTATTACAATTTTTGTTGACATCTATCGTGGGGTGGGATTGTGGATGGCACCCTAGATTTGGACCCACCTCTCCCCCCCCCCCCAATTCACTGCTTCTTAATCCGATATTGTTATGCCTGACATAGTCCGTTAAAAACAACAGTTATTAACAAGTTCAAAATGACTGTTGGTCTTCTATATACCGTATACATTTTGAAACTAAATACATTAATATTAAGGATATTAATATTGTATCAAGTTATTTAGATTTATCACAAAGGATCAAACACTGCATGGTGAATGAATCATTGTAATATCACAGTTCACAATAGTGACAATTATAATTATTCAGAAAATGTGATAATGAATATATACAAGTGATTGTAATTCTTCTAATTTTACAACTTCTCATTATCAACAGTTAGATTATAATGAAGGGAGTAAAAACTCCATTATGGGGGCTCTCCAAATGGTTTATCTTTAATTCAAACAGTTTATCTTTAGTATACTTTATAAAAATAAGCTTCATAAATTCCTGAACTTTACTAAAAAAAATCAACATTTTTTATCGTTTTTTCAGCCAATATTCTAAAAATCAATATGGACATGAACAAATAATAAGTATCACACCATTCAGTGCTTGATTATCTTTTTTGGCAGTGCCAATTGTTAATGATAAAACAATTATCATGATAAAAAATTTCTTCAATTGGTTAAACATCTCAGTGATCCAGTTGGTGACCAAAAGTAAAATAATAACGTAAAGGTTATTCCCCAAGCAACGAACTTGACAAGACTGTATAGATCAGTTTTAATGATATATTTGTATTAAAACATATTCAAACTAATTTATCTCACAAAAGTTTGCTTTTGAATCGGAAGAAAACTATCCTATGCCAACCCTGTTTATCATGTGACTTGATTGTGAGAGAATCAATTATTAGCTTGTATTTGTCGTTAATCGTTAATCCATTTACCATAAATATCAAAGCATAAGTAAATTCCTGGTTGATCCTCTGCCAACTTTTTTTCAGCCACTTAATCGCAGCGTCTATGGATATAAATGGCTTTGTGTATTAATGACCACATTGTATCATAAAGCTTAATCTATAAAGGAAGCCACGTTGGATCTGTGACTAAGGCGCTGCCTCACTAACCAGGATGTTCCAGGTTCGATCCTGTGTTAGGGGTGTAGGACTGAAGGCCTGACAGAGAACAGCACTTAGTCCTGCATGCACGCAAAAGAACCCTTGACATTTGGAATTTGATGCCTGAGCAAAATTTACCTCAGTGAACATTGCATATCATATGCCCATCTTCATTAGCCTTGTATTACATTAAACCCCATTTCATTTCATTTCTTTTCTATTACAGAAAGACTATTGATGTGGTAAAGGTATATTGACAGATTTATTGTCCAGGTAACAAGGAAGACCATTTAGCCATATATATAGAGGAGACTGAAAACTAAAGAGACGGGAACAGAATAGTTACGTTTTGGTTCACAATGGTCAGACAGGAGGGAAGACATTTGTAGGTCTTTGATACAATGCCTCTTTGATTCCAGTTTCTAATAATCACTCTTTAAAACTTGGCCTGTGTATATAGGTGAGATATAGCTTGTATGTGAACAGCTAATAAGATAATTGAAGTCAACCAGAATCAGTATCATGTTAGTAGGCTGTCTAAAATATAATAATGTAGGAGACAGACCACTACATATTCTCCCATTGACTTTAATGATAATTCTTGTTTCTTGTCTCTATGTTTGTCCCCCGCCTTTTGAAGAAAGTAGGGGACTATTAAAATGGATTTGTCTGTCGGTCTGTCTGTCTGTCCATCCGTCTGTCTGTCTGGGACACAATAACTCTCCTTCTAATTGAGCTAAAATGTTCAAACTTGGTGTAGGTGTTTATTAGGTCAATGCCTTGATGGAGTTCGAAGATGGGCATTTTCTGCGTAGGGTAAGCAGAGATAAGCAATTTGATTGTTTATTGCTTTGGGACACAATAACTTTTGTTCTAATTAAGTCAGAGTGATGAAATTTGGTGTATAGTTTCATTACATCAGTACCTTGACTAATGAACATTATCGACTCAGGGTAAGCAGTGTGATAAGCAATTTGATTGGTCGAGACTTTGGAACACAATAACTCTTCATTCTAATTGAGGTGGAATGTTCAAACTTGGTGTAGGCATTCACTGTTTGATAATAAACATTGTCTGCTTACGGTTAGCAGAGATAAGCAATCTGATTGGTTGATGCTTTGGCATGATAACTTTGGTTATAATTAAGTGAGAGTGATGAAACTCTGAGTATAGATTCATTATATTATTACCTTGACTAAGTTCAAATCGATGATGAGTATTTTCTGCTTAGGCTAATATAAAAGGAGCGATAAGCAATTTGATTGGTTAAGACTTTGGAACATAACAACTTTTAATTGAGGTAGAATGTTTAAACTTGATGTAGATGTTCATTAGGTGAATGTCTTGACTGAGTTCAATGATTAACATCTGAGCTAAACTAAGCAGAGCTAAGCAATTTCATTGGTTGATGCTTTAGGGCAAGATAACTTTGATTCTATCGATATATAGAGAGTGATGAAACTTAGTGTATCGTTGATAATCAGTTTGATTGCTTGATACTTTGAAAAAAATAAATGTCTGATAAATTAATATGTGTCATCTATTTATTTTGGGATTTCGGCGGGGGACATCAGCCTCACTGTTGGCTTGTGTCGAAAATGGTCTCTGTCCATGTATTGCTCCAATGCTTGTATACGAAGTTTACAATTAAAATTTTTAGATACACAAATTTGATGTATCATTTGTAAGAAGACAAACCCAGGTAACTCATACATATGGACATATGACATCATTAATTTCCCTCTGTTACCATTCCACCTCTAAAGCATAAGTGTTCACCAAACTCTGGCATAAATTAATGTCAATTCAAAAGTGGAAATGCGAAAGGGGAGAAAAGAACAAAAGATAAAGACTGTAAATAGAAGGTACTATCTGGGAGGGATCTATGTCCTGTATGTAATTTTCCCCTTGTCAGTGGTTGAGGATGGAGGGCCTGGCTAGGACAGTGTCTAGTCGGTTGGATTGGACAAAAAACTGATGTCCTGTGTACACATTGACATGCACGTAAAAGAATCCTGGAGGGCCTGGCAAGGACAGTGTCTAGTCGGTTGGATGTTAAGAAAAAACACGGTCCTGTGTACACATTGACATGCACGTAAAAGAACCCTTGAAAGTTAGAATTCGAAATAAGAGTACGCCGTAAGCCTGCTTCATCAGTCCAGTTGGTGCAGAAAAGTAGGATGTTAAACTCCATTTCATTTTATTTCATTAATTACGTCTTATAATATTAAAGGAAAGACATTCTCTGGAAAATAAATTATTAATGTATATAATTCTAATAATTAAAAGGTTTTCTCTACTGAAAAAAGTTATTAATACAGTTAATTATGAAGATAAACATTGCGAGTGAGTGCCGACATTGTATCCAAAAGTGTGATGTCATAGTTTACTACGTACGACGTCATATAGTCCAGCCGTATGTACCGTTAGAATAGTTTGCTTGCTCAAGACTTTTTCCATCTGCCAATTAATAATTCAGACTTTTTATTCTTTCTATGACTAAAGCTGAAAATGGTTGGAGAGGCATCTGTTTGTTTTTTTTTTAATTTGCAGCCCCAAAAATTCACACAACCTTGTCACTGAATTTAAATTTGTCAATGTTATGAATGTTAACAATGTACAGGAACCAAAGAATTATTGCTCTGTGTCTTTCTGTTAGTCTTTTGTATTTGTTTGGAATTTTAAAATAGGTCAACAATTGCCAGCATAACTATTAATCTTAGTTTTGATTGGTTGAGAGATATAGATCGACAGGAACATAGCATCCGCAGCAGTTTCATTTATTGATCAATAGATTTTTTGATCTTTGAAAATTTTTTTTTTTAATTCTTCAACATTAAAAGAATCTCCTACGAGTCTTTGGCAATGTTATTTTATACGCCCACATTTTCATGTGGACGTATATTGTCATCGCCCCTGTTCGTCCATCCGTCCACAATTGTTTGTGGACACTACAGGTCACAATTCTTATCCGATTTTGACGAAACTTGAAATATATTTTTATCCCCAAAAGATCTTGGTTGCTTTCAATATTGGCATGTATCGGACCGAAACTTCCTGAATTATGGCCCCTGATTGTACGAAAAATTGTGTTTTTAGCTTGTGGACCCTATAGAGGTCATAATTTTTATCCGATTTAAAAAAAAGTTTTAGTATAACACCGTTACACCCTAAGGATGGTTGAGTTCGAATTTCGTAAAAATCGGACCAAAACTGACAGACAAAATGGCCGCCCCTCATTCTCAAGGTTGTGGACCCTCTAGAGGTCACAATTTTCTTCTGATTTTGATGAAACTTGAAATGTAAGTTTATAACCCAAAGATCTTGGTTCCTTTCGATATTCAGGCATATCAGGTAATAACTTCCAGAATTATGGCCCCTGATTGTATGAAAAATCATGTTTTTAGCCTGTTGTTAAGGTCACAATTTTTATCCAAATTAAGGTCACAATTTTTATCCAAATTAAAAAAACCATGTGAATATATCACCATTACACACTAAGATCTTGGATCCTTTTGATAATCGCGTATATCTGAACGTAACTTCCTGGATTATGGCTCCTGATTGTTCGAAAATCGCATTTTTAGCTTGCGGAGTCACTAGAGGTAACAAATTTTTTTTCCGATTTTAAAAACCATTTAAATATTTCACCATTCCACCATAATGACGTTGAATTCGAATTTCCGGAAAATCGAAATGAAACTGCCCAACAAAATGGCCGCAAATCGCATTTTTAGCTTGCGGAGTCACTAGAGGTAACAAATTTTTTTTCCGATTTTAAAAACCATTTAAATATTTCACCATTCCATCATAATGACGGTTGAATTCGAATTTCGGGAAAATCGAAATGAAACTGCCCAACAAAATGGCCGCTCTCTGTATGCAAATTGTGTAAAAGTATGCAATACAAAGGTTGTGGACCCTCTAGAGGTCACATTTTTTATCGGATTCTGATATATCATTATGTCCCAAAGATCTCAGTCCCTTTTGATATTTGCGCATTGCAGACCAAAAATCCTGTTTGTTTTTAGTTTGTTCTCTATCCATCTCTTGCAAAATGTGGGCGTATCCTGCCTGGCAGCCGCTGGTTGTTTTTAGCTTGTTCTCTATCCATCTCTTGCAAAATGTGGGCGTATATTGTGCCTGGCAGCCGTTGTTTAATTGACCAATCAAATTCATGTAAAGTGATATCTCCTAAGGATATATGTACAGTAGATTATGAAAGTTATCACACAAGCGATATTTACTGTAGAATGTGTTATTGAGTGATAAAGAAGTCTTTATTTTAATAGTGTACTTATTATGACTAAGCATAATAACCTGCTTTGTTGAACTTTTTCTTTGAACTACTAGGTCATGGGTATACCTGTATCCTGGTAAAGTTATAATTTTGTTACTTGCTGTATACATAAATGATATGATACTTATACTTATATTGTCCCTGTGTAATCATGCAGTACGACATTGGCCTTCATGTCACAATATTACTTAGGCATGTAAGCTAACTCTTGTCAGATGAGGTCATCAACAGACACTAATATTATGTTTGAATAGAGATTTTATTGAAATTAGTCAACGTGGTTTAATTTTTGGGATAAAAAATTCCCTCCCCAAACTCCTGAATACACCACTAATTAAAGATGCATTATGTAAGACATAAATCTGTCTATTGTAGATCTTTCTTTTGGCTTCAAATCAACTCTCTAGACCATCGGATGGTGGAGTTTTAGATAGATTTACACATCCTCAAAATTTAAAAGTATAACAATAAAATGGGCAATCAAGTCTAACTCTCGGTTGTCAATCACCATTGCTACGATAATGAACAATCTACGCTATATCGTTAAACAGTCATAACTTAGCTCAGAATAAAGTAATTTGAATGAAATTTTCAATATATTCATTTTTTATTATCTATATGTTTGAACTACAACAGCAAGAACTTCCAGCTCTTTATCTAAATCTTACATAATGCATCTTTAGACGTTGATTTTATACAGCAATATGTGATGGTGTTTGAAGAATACAAGTTATTGAAATACTTGGCCCTTTATTTTTGTGGTGACAAAAGAGCAAAATATCTAAATAGTCTTAAGGTTGAAAGGCAACTATGAAGACCTAATTTATCTATTTTTAAAAAATGTATAATGTATAATATTTCGAAGCAGTTTTTTTAATCCTAAGTTCTGAAATGATTGTTTGAACTGTGAACCTCTAATAACATACCTGTTTAATATTGAATAGATCCTGCTGAAATTATATAATGATCATATCCAAAATCTCATAAGTGTACATTCCATTTTCTTATTGACATGTTTAATCCTCATAAATATTCTTTCATTTGAGACTACCATAGGCAATTTGACTGTACAGTTTTTGTCAAATACTTAAGTTCACATCCCAGTTCTGAAACTCTGCACATGTATTTCATAAACTGAATTAATTCATACTACATGATAAAATTCTCAGCATTACCAAGTATTAAATTAATCACTATAAAAATAATAACAGAAATTAAAATGCTTTACCACAGGTAAACTTAATCTAATTTATATCCTTGTTACTTTGATATCCAGTAAAAATTATAGTGGTTATATCTTTTACAGTGATTTACATTTACATTATGACAAGGAAGTATATACAAGTAATACAAGTATTGTGTTATTTTTAGATTTTAGACTTGTCTCGTAAACTCCCCTATTTAACTAACACAGATGTGGGTTCATTGAATATGATAGCAATATAATATAATGTTATGTCAGGTAAATAGTACAAAAAAGTGGGAAGAAATTCAAACATTCCAGAATCACTGGTCAACACTCAATTTAAATGAATGTTCTAAGAATCTGTTGTTATGTATTCTATCCACAATTTCTCCTAGAGAAAACAGACAATCCAGGAATTTTTGGTCTGGGTGATTGACATTGTCTTTATCTTTAACATTTGTCCATTTATATTTATATGTATCAATGCCGATTGGGGATAATAGTTATTGATCATTTAGTGTTAAATATTGTTTGTTATGAAATTTTTAGCACACCGTTTACAGCAGGTTGGGCTACAGTGATCAGTATATATCAGGGCCGGCGGAAGCAATTCTTGATTGACGGGGGCGGCGGGCACCATCCTAGGATGAAGTGAAATTTTATTTCTTTTCTAATCCCTTACCATGCAAACACAGTCGATGGTTGTTCCTGCAATTCTGAACTTGGCAAATATATGCATAATAATACCAAGGTTTGTGGACACTCTAGAGGTCACAATTTTTATACGATTTTGATGAAACTGACCATGTATGTTTATAACCAAAAGATCTCGACATTTTTAGCTAGTGGGCCTTCTATACCTCACAGTTTTTATTTGATTGTCAAAACCGTTCAAATATATCACCGTAACACCATAATTACGACTGAGTTCAAATTTTGTGAAAATTGGACCGAAACTGTCCGACAAAATGTAATACCCAGGCTGTGGAACCATCCAGAGGTTCGAATTTTCATCCAATTTTGATATATCCCAAAGGTCTGGGCTCCTTTCCATATTGGCGCATACTGAATCGTAATGACCCCTGATTGTACGAAATATCACTTTTTGAGCTCGTGGACCCTCAAGAGGTCAGCATTTTTTACCTTATTTTCAAAACCATTAAAATATATCACCTTAACATCATAATTATGATTGAGTATGATTGAGCCCGAATTACCTAAAAATTGGACCGAAACTTGTATAATAGTATAAATAGTATAGTACCGGTATAAAAGTGTTTAAAATACAGATGTGACGTCACCCTTTGATGTTGGCGTACCATTATTTCAAATAATCGTACGGGCAACTTGCCAATCGTACCTTGTCAAATATTAGACTCGAGTGACGTATTTCACTGTAAACGCACGTGCGGAGTGTCTGTATTTTAAGATGTTTAATGGTCTCGAGCTGAGACATTGCGTAATATATTGTAAAAACACTCGGACCTGACGGTCCTCTTGTTGTTACAATATATTACTTAATGTCTCGCTCTCGACCATTAAACAATACTTAAAATACAGATGTGACGTCACCCTTTGATGTTGGCGTACCATTATTTCAAATAATCGTACGGGCAACTTGCCAATAGTACTTTATTCATACCAGTGAGATATTGGACTAGTGTGACGTAAAAGCTCGTGCGGAGTGTCAGTATTTTAAGATGTTTAATGGTCTCGAGCTTACGACATTGCGTAATATATTGTAAAAACATTCGGGCCTACGGCCCTCATGTTGTTACAATATATTACTTAATGTCTCGCTCTCGACCATTAAACAATACATAACCCATGCATTATCGTCTAGTATTGTTTCTGGTCGCATATATGTATTAAACCTTAACTGGTTAGGACGTACCTTTAAACGCCACTCTGGCATCCGACATTAATGACAGCTTCATGTTGTGATTGAATATACTGCATCTTAAATGATATCATCAACAAGAACAACAAATACCAGATTTCGGCTCTACCTTTTATATTAAGCACTGCTACATATAGGTTACATAGTTATAATAAAGTCATTCTCTAAAACCAGCTCCCATGCAGACTCGGCGAGTCTGCTGATGGAAATTCCTACATCTTTTCCCTACGAGAACTACATGGCTGTCTATATATATTTAAAAAAAACAACAACAACACTCTTTCAATGTGGTTCTAAAGATTAACATTAAATTATAATGTATTCCTAGATTTGGCAAATGATAAAATAGGCATAATTATTCAGACTTCTCTTGTGGCCGGTTTGTGAATTATCTAATTAAAATTAGACTGTACCTTTGTTTCTTTTATGCCAACAAATTTTGTCGTCAAGGATGTTCGTCACTGCTGGTAAGTCCGTCGAACTTTTCTTGTGAATGCTCTGCAGTGTAGTTCATGTTGGATTTGTTCAAATTCGCAGTGATTGCTCATTTGGACTTAGTCGTATTAAAGAAGAACTCTATAGCAATTCGATCGCAAATCTCTTTATTTACGCTAAAACTTATGACAGCTTTAACAACAACACGTGTAAAAAAGTGCTTGATGGAATGTTTTAGAACTCGGCAGTATTAACCTTTGTTACGAAAGGCTAGCTGGGTGGGCTGCAAATAGGCTATTTCCTGTTCCTATAGAGCTAAAATTGATATCTTATCAATATTAAAAAAAGCAGGATTTTCATTTAAACCTGTATTCGAGTCTTCTTACAAGTTGGCGTCGTCAAACTAAAATTATGTAGAAAAATAACTCTTTTCTCAATCGCACGGTTAATTCCAATTTATCACCCAAAGGATTTCATTTTCCTGAAGATATTCTAATTGGGTAAGTGATGTGTCAAGTTCGTGGATGCAATCTACTCTTGTACCTCATGGGACAGATTTTAATGTTCAAACGTTCAACTTATCACTAACTGAATGCTAAGCACCCTAACTTAACAGTATTTGGGTCGGTTATATTGATTTTCAAAAATGTAATGAACAATGAATTCCAACAGAAAATGTGTTTTGTTCTTTCTTGTTGTTTATTGGTGATAAGGGAGTTGTAGGACAAATCTCACAAGTTACAAATACAAGTAATGTGAGCATAAAAATTTACAATAACATACGTTTTACCCACTTAAATGTTTTAAATCAATACCTTCAATACTTTAAATCAAACTTGCTTTCAGGTACACGTATGTATTATGATAATTGTAGACAGGGATACGCAGCCCCTGTCTTATTGGTAATTAACAACCAAATAGTATTATGTATGCATGTATGGAAAATGTAGACAGGGATACGCAGCCCCTGTCTTATTAGTAATTAACAACCAAATAGTATTATGTATGCATGTATGGAAAATGCAAGTTTGAAATCAAAATGGCTTCTGATATGTGTTCAGTGTAATAATTGCAACCAAAAACTAAGTCAGATGTGTTTCAATTTCTTATTAGTAAAATATACGTGAACAGAGGAAAAGTATCAGTTTCATTTGTTTCTCTTAAAAATTGACGACTTTATGCTTGTCTGAAGTTTTACCTTTTAAAGGAACTTATCCTCAAAATTTAACGGCTTATGAGATATGTTCCGGAATAAAAATTGTATACCAAGAGGTTAGTCAATATCGTTGGCAAATAGACGTGTCAGTTATCCTTAATTGAGAATTCTAAGATGATTTTTTTTACCAGGAACTGGTCGCTAACCACTACTCATCTTTAAAAAAAAAACTTGCATTTACCCTCAAAATCCGGGACTTTCCGGTACATCCATTGTGGTCAACTTTTAGAATATCATTCAGTACACTTAACACTACCAGAAACCACCAATAAACCTTTTCATGCAATTGTTGGGCCGGGGGGGGGGGGGGGGGGTGTCTCCCTTTTTCGTAAATTGACCATTCTTTTAAAAAAAGAACCTGGCATTTACCCTCAAAATCTGTGACTTTCCAGTACTTTCATTTTGGTAAATTTTTAGAATGTTATTCAGTACACTTAACACTACCAGAAACCATCAAAAACCTTATCTTGTAATATTTTAGAGGTTGACGCCCTTTTTTCATACATTGACTGGTATATGTGTATAATTTGAAGATGAATACCACGAAACACATTTCTAACTTTATTTCCCAAGAAGAGCTGAAGGCAAATTATACAAACTTAATTGATACACAAATATTGTATATCCTATTTTATTTTGATTAAGTACATAATGAACACACTTCAATCAAGGAAGACATATGACAACATTGAGAATATTATATCACTGTATCTAAGAAGTCGGATATCACACTAAATCAGATCATTACTAGTTGTACATGTATAAGGAAGCTATAGAAATAGAAGTATCGACTGGTATATTGTTCACATGAACCAGCTATATGAAAACCCATTTCTATATTAGGGAATCGACATAAATGTTGAAACTTGCTGGTTTACAATTTTTATCTGAACGATAAGAAATGAATAAATTAAACAAAGACCATGACGCACTACATTATACTTTGTACAAGACAGTAGTTGACAATTCTTACTCTGGAAAGGTGCACATAAAGCAGCTGTTGAATATCCAAAGCATTTACTCGAAACAAAAAAAAACGTTTGATAATTAAACTAAATAATGGTAAACAACTGCACAGATACGACAATAATCAAATTAACAAAGTTTACGACTGTACCAGATCCATTCGTCGAATCGTCGATAATAATTGGTGATGTTAACAATGGCAAAGTTGCTTCCAGGGGACAAGAACTGTTTAGTTTACTTCTTAGCAGAATATGGATATGAAGCTTCATTGCCGTATTTTGTGCCATCGTACACTCTTCATCTAACGCAGCATCATTAGCACAGGATAAAGAACGTTTCAAATAACCACACCAGAAAGATGTATTACCCGCGATGTCAAACGATGGACCAAATTCTGAAAGATCAATTCGTTTACTGCATCTAGAAAAGTTCAAACATTTATCAAAGGGATACGGCTTTAAAATCTGATCACAATAACGGCGTGTTACGTTGTGCAGCAATCGGAAAGTTAAACTGTCTCCAGTGATAGACGGGGAACGGCATCTTGTTTCATAATCTGCTTCAC